GAGAATGCACTTTCCATATTGCCTTGGGTTTTATGTTTTACTTTCTGCAAAGCAAGTGTATCTTGCCTTGAAAGGTGTCATCTTGAAGAAGCTCCCACTGGCCAAATGTGGAACAACTGTAACATTAGAATAAATATGATAGCAATGTCATTTAAACTTACTGAGTGAAATAAGAATCTATGAATCTATTCAGATAATAAGCAAAGGAAAACTTATCATTAGAGTATAAACTAACGAGTGTGAGATGAATGATAACATTAGAAAATTACCATATTTCAACCATCATAGCCACAGTTAATTGAAGCTAGAGTCACAAGTGTATGCTTAAATTTGGGGTCAATAGTAATCTTCTTATTTAGAAAAGGAAACTGGTATCTTCAGAGTATAGAAACCAAATGAACACTTTCTTACTCAAGTGGTGAAAGTTAATAACCCTAATAATAAAACAAAATGACATAATTACTTATGCAGCATTTACGCCAAAAAAAAAGAATAAACTGAATCTAATCATGAAGTTACTACAGACTGACACATATAGCGGGGTACTTGATAATATCAAATGGCCTCTACTCTAAAATGTCAATATCATCAAAAGAAAAAAAAATTGTTCCAGACAAAAAGACATTAAAGAGCCATGACAACTGAATATAATACATGGTCCAGGATTGGATATGGATCAAGGTAAAATCAGGTACTATTGGGAAAATTGATGATATTTGATTATGGATTATGAATTATGATTATGGACTATCTTTTAAATACCAATATCCCATCAATATTTTATTTCCTGAATATGACCCTTATGCTGTGGTTATGAAGAAGAATGTCCTTGTTTTTTGGGAACTATACACCAAAGTATTTAGGAGTAAAAGAACAAGCTGTCTGAAACTTTACTCTCAAATGGTTTAGTAAAGAGAGAGATGAAAGGACAAGTTTTTATACTTTCACGAATTTTCTGTTGGTTAAAAATTGTTTTCTGGGGCTGGGGATTTGTTTCAGCAGTAGAGCACTCCTTGCGCATGTGAGGCCCTGGGTTTGATCCTCAGCACCACATAAAAATAAATAATAAAGGTATTATGTCCAACTACAACTAAAAAATCAATACTAAAAAAAATTGTTTTCTATAAAGCATAACCTTTAAATGAATTTCCATTGCTGTCTTTTCATTCTTGAAATGTGTCCCTGGCCAAAGGACCTAAGTGTCTTTTTCATGTCTAGGAAATGCTGCTATGTTTTCCTTCTCAGATTGGTCCAGAGAAAGGGGTGGTGCACCTGGCAACAGCAGCCATTCTGAATGTGGTGTGGGACCTGTGGGCGAAGCAGGAAGGAAAGGTAAGTCATCTCCGAAGCACATGTGTAGCTCTGTGGCACAGGAGGACATGTGACTTTCTCTATAAGCAGCCTCAGAAGACCAAAGTCAAGTGCAACACAGGTGTCCAAAGGGAAATACTGAGATACTTGATTATTTTCTTCCCTGAGTGATATTGGCAATAGTTAGGAAATTATAGGATTAGATTATATAGGGCCAAGAAAGATGGAAAGGGACAGCAAAGGGAACAGGTTAAGAGGCAGCAGGAGATAAGGGTAGCATTAGAGGTGAGT